GGAAGATACAGATGTCTAAAGTGTGCAGCCTCGCCGCATGAGGCTACAATTCCAGAGGTCACCTGACAGAGCCAGAAATGCACGTGCCGCTTGCACAGAGAAAACAAATTATGTCCTGAGAGTTGCTGGATCCTGGGGAGGGTGGAAAGCTGTCCTCAAATAGGACGTGCGTTCAGTAGAAGAGGCAGCGTGCACCTCCACCAGGAACTCGCAGCGAGGTGGGCTTCTCCACCCTTCCTGCCGCGCTGCCCGCTGATACCATCCCTTTGGCCACGCCTGTCTTGGGCCTTTATTAAAAGGGAAGGGTGAATTAAATAAAACAATGATGTGGAAGAATTCAGGGGAAATGATATTATTACGAAATGAAAATAAGCCAGACATGGTGGCTCTCAGCACTTTGGGGAGGCTGAGTTGGGAGGATCACTTGATGCCAGGAGTTCGAGACAGCCTGGGCCAACACAGTGAGACCCTGCTATAAGTTAATATAGATTATAAATATAATATATATTTATAAGTTAATTATATTTTGTAAGTTAATATATATTAACTTATATAGTTATATATAAACATATAGTTACATACTATTATTATTCTATATATTATATAATATATATAAAACATAGTCAATGTATATAACTATATAAGTGTATATATTATCACTATGTTAATTAATAGGTATTGATATTAATATCTAAATATATAATTAATAGATATTAATTAGCTGGGGGTGTTAGTGTGCACATGTCGTCCTAGCTACTTGGGAGACTGAAGTAGGAGGATCACTTGAGCCCAGGAGTTTGAGGCTGCAATGAGCTATTATCGCACCACGGCACACTAGCCCGGGCAACAGAGCAAGACCCTATCTCAAAAAAAAAAAGAGAAGAAGGAAGAGAAAGAAGAAATAAAGAAATGAAAATAATAGTATTTTAAGCCAGGAGAATGAAGGAAGAAAAGGGCAAAATATCAGTATGAAACACCCTGCTATTGTGGAGGTGGTACAAAAGTACCAGAGTTAATTATAAAAAAGTTGAGCAATGACCACATATACAAGACCTCCATTGCCAGAGAATTACAAAGGTGATAACATTCTCAATTATGGCATAAATATTCCATCTCTGGGTCTTGCATCTTATTCATGGTGTTCATTTCTTGCAGTGCTTTGTAATTCTTTGTGTGTGAACTGATTTTTGTGAGTTTTCTATGGGAGTCCTGTGAGTTCTGGGTGGTAAAAATGTGGCTGCGGAATAAAACAGTACAAGACTTCCTGTTGCCAGAGTCTCTGGGGATTTCAATGGTCATGGGTCCAGTTGTGTGTTCATTTTTCAGATTTTAGTTCTTGCACCATGCAGGGAGTTAGATTCAGATCCCAACCCCATAGCTCCTAGCCACCTTCAGCTTTTGCTATTGAAGACACATTGGATCGGTGTAATTCTGGTAAGTGAAAAGCTTGGGAGGCAGCTAATATTTCTACATTTCTCTCATTATTTATGATACAAATAGAATTGCATTTTTTATTTTAGACTTGTTCACTATTTTGTATAAAATAAGGGCAAAATGCAATAAGATATTCAAACAATTGTGAAATCATCATTTTACTATTGTGAAACAAAGGTGGCAGTTCAGCCAAAACTGAACTATTGACTGACAGGCAGGCCTCTGCACGTGGTGTGATAGTTTGTGCATGAAAATAGACAACTTGTAGTAAATCAGGTTTGGGATAAAAGAGACAAAAAGCTAAAGGTGATAAATAAGTTAAAATCAGAAAAATAGATGAAATGAAGGATTACAAATTAAACACTAAGAAGTTAAAAGTAAAATAATCCCTCACCAAAAAATACAGTTAATTAATTGTCTTTTTAATTAATTAAGTGACCTGCATGGCCAGCCTCCTGTCTCCAGGACCTGAAAGGACTATAAACTGTTCCTGAGCCTCTCCTGTGTCCCCTCTTGAGGTTGCACCTGATTGGCCATCACCTAAAAGAACGCAGAACAGTATGGGATAAAGGTGGCATTCAAAATTGGTCAGGAAAATATGAATCATTTAATAAATACCACTGGTATAACTAGTTGGCTATGA